TGTCTATCTTCCTTTGTTTCCTCTTGCTCTTCCCTCTCTCTTTGATCTTCTTCAGAAACCTTCTACGGTCTAAAGGGAAGCTTCCTCCGGGACCTAAGGGTCTCCCGATCATCGGAAACTTGCACCAACTTGGAAGATTTCTTCACAAATCTCTTCACAAATTCTCCCATGAATATGGACCGGTTATGCTTCTCCATTTCGGATTTGTCCCTGTGATCATTGTCTCTTCCAAAGAAGGAGCTGAGGAAGTGCTCAAGACTCACGATCTTGAGACTTGTAGCCGACCTAAGACGGTCGGAACCGGATTGTTTACTTACAACTTCAAAGACGTTGGTTTCGCTCCTTTCGGTGAGAACTGGAGAGAGATGAGAAAAATCGCGGTGCTCGAGCTCTTTAGCCAGAAAAAACTCAAATCTTTCAGGTATATCAGAGAGGACGAGAGCCAAGTGTTGGTCAATAAAGTATCAAAGTGTGCTAATGAGACACAAGCCTCATCAGTTGATGTGAGGAAAGTCATTTTCTCCTTCACGGCAAGCATCATTTGTCGACTTGCTTTTGGACAGAACTTCCACGAGTGCGATTTTGTCGATATGGAGAAAGTTGAAGAGTTGGTTCTTGAGTCAGAGACCAACCTCGGCTCTGTGGCGTTTGCCGACTTCTTTCCTGCGGGATGGATCATAGACCGGATCTCTGGTCAGCATGCGAGGTTGAACAAAGCCTTTGCAAAACTCACCAATTTCTTTGAGCATGTGATCGATGATCATTTGAAGCCACAACCCGAAGATCACTCGGACATCATTAGTGTCATGTTGGATATGATCAATAAACCCACAAAACCCGGTTCTTTTATAGTAACCGATGACCATCTCAAGGGAATCATGTCGGTGAGTACGAATAACTCTATACTACTACTAAATCTTTAACATTATAGATTATAGATTGAGACGCAAGTTAACCTAAGATATAAACATATATTCCTTTTTCTGACTTTATTCATATTTGCTCCCTAATTTATTATTTCTATCCTCTTAGAAAAACAAAATCACACGTTGCATGTTTATTTATTCAGGATGTGTTTTTGGCGGGAGTGAACGCGGCATCCATCACGATGATATGGACGATGACAGAGCTAAGCAGACATCCGAGAGTGATGAAGAAACTCCAAGAAGAGATTCGAGCAACACTTGGATCCAACAAAGAGACAATCACCGAAGAAGACATAGAGAAAGTTGAGTACTTAAAGTTAGTGATCGAGGAAACATTCAGATTACACCCACCAGCTCCTCTCTTGCTCCCAAGACTAACAATGTCCGACATCAAGATTCAAGGCTACGACATTCCCAAGAACACAATGATCCAAATCAACACTTACACAATAGGACGTGATCCCAAAAACTGGACAAACCCCGACGAGTTCATCCCCGAGAGGTTTGTCGATAACTCTATCGAATATAAGGGTCAGCATTTTGAGCTCTTGCCGTTTGGAGCCGGACGTAGGATCTGTCCCGGGATGGCCACGGGGATCGCCATGGTTGAGCTCTGCCTACTTAACCTTCTTTACTTCTTTGATTGGAATTTGCCTGAGGGAATGACCATTGAAGACATTGACATGGAAGAAGATGGAGCTTTCGTCATCGCCAAGAAAGTCGCTCTTGAGCTCGTACCAACTCATCATCGCTGGTGAAGAATGTAATACTCTATCTAAGATCTTTGATATTTCTATGTATGTATACTTATTATCGATTAGAGTTTTAATTGTTTTATTGTCTTTCTTTTATGTTTATCCTATCATGTAATTGGTATATTACATGTTTACAGTAGTGTTTCAATCAATAAAATTTATGTTAATCTGCCATTGTATCGATCTTTCAATTTGTATTATAATGGTATTTATCATACAAATCCGTTTTAAAGGTGACATAACATTGTTTTTGTACAACTTAGTCACAAACTCAGAGTTTATGTCTTTGATGATAAATCAATCATTAATTGGTCCAAAAAAAAAAGGCAACGACCAAAACTGTAGAGTCAAAACTTCTCTAACTTCAAGGTCTGGGCCATCTTTTATTAATTAGACAGACACAAAACGGTCCCTTCGGGGACATTCAATAAAATTGGAACGACACCAGAAAAAAAAAAAAACAACAACAACGTTTACTTTTCACATAAAATAGTAAATATTTAAAGTGCACTTTTAAATTAAAAAACAAAGGAACAATGATTTAATATTATCATTTCACTTTGTTAACATTAGGAGTAGGTATATTATCCGTTAAATTCGATCTGATTTTTTACTATTCATTTCGATCCGATCTAAAATATTCGGATATCCGTTTTGAATCAAAGCAAAGCAAATAATATAATTTAATATCCGTCTAAACC